GTTTGAAAGACCAATGTTTAAACACTTCTTGTTTAGACTGATGTTTGTCTTTGGCTGCCCATAGAAATCCTATATCTACATGTATGGGTGTATATGGACATTTGAAAGCAGGTTTTGTAATTATTGCCATTAGTTATTTACATGCCATTTGCTCCTTGAATCATGTTATTATTTTGTAAAATGACACTGAATATGTTTTCAGTAAATAAAACTGACAAACATTGGAATAAACATGTTTCTGTAAAACTGAACTAAAAATAAACGTATCTAGCCGAATGTTTAATACATGCATAAGCCCCAGGCATTTTAGCTTAGAAAAGGACTGAAGGAAAACCAGTCTGATTTGACTACACTACGCACTCTGTCCATCGTGAATTTGTGTTGAGACTTGAAGCTTTGCAGAATTCTCTATAGTGAAAGTCATTTAAAGGTCAGCCAGTAGACAGATGTAAACAGCGAGTCCTTCCCCCCCCAGTGCATGCAGTCTGACTGTACTGTAAGGTGACACACAAAAGTAGCAACCTTGTACCTAATAAAAAGGTTCAGGGCTATTCCAAACTCCAAACAAAAAGGTATTTCTGGATTGGTAATGATCACCTCCTCAACATTCAAAGTCTGCAGCAGAAACGGATTCGTAAATGAGTGACCTATTTATTTCACTGTATAAGGGCTCTTCCACATCACATTAGTTGAGCTGCATTGGTCTGCACAGATCAACACCAGGGCACCTAGAAAACAATGGTTTCCTTTGTGCCATGTTCACACCACAACACTGGGTTGAGGTGGGTTGCATTGCTTAAAAATGCAGATATTCTGAATTTTCTTTTCACACGACACCACGTTCCAGCAGGTCACTGCACCCGGTGAGATACATTTAAAGGGTTATTAAACCCTCCGTTTATTTTACATATATCTACTGCTAGCAAGCAGTAGATATATGCAAAAAGTGTTTAAAAAAAAAAAAAAACCCCCGCTTTGAAAAGGGTTGATACTTACCTGTGTCTTCCCCGCGCGCTCCCATCCGAAAATGTGAAAATTCTCGGGTGGCCGCAAAGCATCTTGGGGCGGGCGCATGCGCAGTTCACATTTTCGGCCAGGACGCGGGGAGAGACAGAAGGTAAGTCTATGGACGCGTGCACCCGCATGCAGACACCGTGGGGCAGGAAGTGCCAGCAAGTTCAGAGGAGTCAGCGCTGGATCGGAGACCCGCCGCAGTGCTGGAGGGACAGATGAAAAGGACAGGAAAGAAGAAGATCGGATTAAGAAACATCATTTAAGGTAAGTGCTTTAATTAACATTGGGTTGTTTTTTTTACTTTAATGTCACTTTAAGTGAATGAAATGTCAATGAGTGAGTTATCAATAAAGTTTTTATTTAAAAAAAAAAAACAATGTTGCACTGCTCTTCACCATCACTGCACAATGCCTGCACCCATTTTAGCATGTAGTCTGATGTGAATGAGCCCTAAAGGATGACTGTATAAATGGAATGTATCTAAACCCAAGATCAGAAATGTGATATCTTGCAGCTTACCAGCTGCTTAGATGTGATGACCATATTGGTTTATATTGTTCAGGATTTGTTCTTATGTTTATTTGCTCCTGCCAGTAACACACTTTCTGTCCTAGGGTGGCAATGCTTGTTCACTATACAGTATCTATGGAGGAGCAATATTGTCATTCTAGGACAGGTATATGTTGGGACTACAGAATACATCTCCCTAATCTCCATAACATAGGGGGAGGTTTTCTATAGTTCAAAGGTAACCTGATATAACATTGCAGATGGCACTGGACTTCTGACAGACTCAAACTGTTTTTTTGTTTTCATTTATTAAACCGATATAATGAAAGTTAATGGTTTATTTACTAGACAATCTGACAAACGAGAAGTTAACGCTTAAAATAGTACAAAGGGCTAGGTGTTGTTTACCCAAATGCATTCTCTGTATTAAGCTAACATATCCACAGTACCTTTCCAAGTTCCCTTGTGCCCAAACATTTACCTCTTGTCGCCTCCACCGGTTCCTGGAGAGATATCTCTGTTCCCTGAACTTCCAGGTTATGGGGGAGAACACTGAGGGCAGAGGGGGTGATAGGCTCCTGCTACTATCAGTCAAACTGTGACTGTGTGTGTGTGTGTGTGTGTGTGTAGCTAGGTGCGGGTCACAGCTGGGAAGGAGCACACACAGGTGTCTCCCCAGCAGTCAGTTGGCTAAGTGAAGGAGACACCCACAAATAGGTGGTGGGGGGTGTTTGGGGACCAGCTGGAGGATGAGAAAGAAAAGCAATTTAAAAAGAACACCACCAAAATCATGTAAGTGTGGGCCTACTCATCCTAAAAAGAACAAAGGTTTTAAATCACTTTAAGGTTTACATACCCTTTAAACGAGAAACTTGACAGCCTCGAGTGTAGCTTTGTTGGGGGTGGGATCTGCTTTGGACTTCTCATTATTCTCTATGAGCCTATCTCTAACCACAGCACTCGTGTAACAGTGTGAACAGCTTTACTGCAAACAATACACGGTATTGCACTTTGGTGTGAGTGATCTAGTTTTGTTTACACTGATGCGGTTAAGAATTGTAGGTTAGCATTTACCAAGGAGCACAGCTAGGAATGCCCTATGCACCAAAAATAAAGCATGCATTGCAGCTCTCAAATGCAAGTGTGATTATTGCCATGCCTGCTATGTGCAGCATTGTTGGTGAATTCTGCTGCTGTTCAACACATAGCAAAATGTGCCTGTGCCAGTGAGCTATAGCAGTTCTTACCCACACTTCCAGGCAACAGTACAAATGGAATAATGTATTCAGATAGACTTGGCCATTCATCAATAATGATGAGGAATCTTATGTACCCTTATGTATAAAAGTGCCACAGGATGCAACGTGCACTGCAAGACAATTCCTATACAGCCTGTTGTTTTTATTAATTTCTGTGTTCCTCTACTGTAGCCAGAGGCCATTTTAGTAAAGCTGCTCATGGTACACAGCATTTGCAGGCTAAAAGTACATCAGGGAAGGGATAGCTATTGTTTTACTAAAAATGATGCAGCCTCTGAAAAACTGACGTTATCACGGGCTCCATTTTCTGAAGAGAAGCCGTTTATCAGAAATTCTTCCTGCAGCCTCCTGTTTCTGGGAGTCCTTCTGTGCTAATGTGAGATGGATTGCCTATTCAACCCAATACAGACCAGGTTACTTCCATCCAACCAGAACCCTCCAGTGATGGTCAGTAACAGCCTTATTACAGCAAAGATGGAAGCCAACACATGACTACTGGAAGCAAGGATTATCTGTGACTGTGATCTATATACGTACATGGCAAAGCCAGTTAATACATGCCACATAATTGTTAGTTTCCCCAGCTGCAGAGCACCACATGACTTTGATTCCTTAAAGGAGAACTAAGGAGAACCTAAGGGTAACGGGAGGACACAAACTAGCGTCCTCCCATGACCCAAAGCTTAGTATATAGCGAGCTACAGCTCGCAGTATACTGAGATGCCGCAGTCGGGACGGATCCTGACATTACTGTCGAGATCCACCCAGCTGTGGGAGTGACAGCTGGCTCTGCCTATCTAGGGGCTGAGCCAGCTGTGCCTGTCCCTCCCCCGTCCATTCCGCCAGTCAGCGCTGAAGAGAAGGGGGAATCCCTGCAGGGAGCCGTGAGTCACAGCTCTCTGCAGGGATAGATCGAGAAGTGAGTGAGCGAAGGTATGTGTTCGCTCACTTCCCGATCTATTGAGCCGACCTGTGACAGTTTCATTGTCACAGGTCGGCTAGAACTATGAGTGATTATCACTCGCCTCACAGTTCTCCTTTAACGGCCTATTAACACTTTTCTGTTTCCAGTAAAACACAAGATTGTTACTGCATTTCATGTAGAGCTCTCATTCTTTCCTATGGTGCTTGTTCAATGCACTAAAGTTTAGTGTGTTTTTAAAGGAGAACTGGAAGGGTCTGTTTACACCTATGTGTATGCAGTACCATGCATGCTGCAACACAGCAAATAGTGTGAATGAGCCCTTAGCAATAGGTGCTTATTATCACTGAAATTGTTAGGCCATATCATACTAGATAAGCACACGTGATGCTCAAATATGTAATGCTTGTGAAATTGCACTGTATATAACTAGCGGATTATGTTAATGAACTATGCACATTTTGTTTTCTCTGTGAATCTATGCAGAGGAAGGAAATTGTCAGGTTTTTGGACTGATACTGGCATCTAAGCGCAGGGTCCTCTTTCTCTGCACCTTTTCTCTAGGTTTGTGCGGTTCTTACTGATGTGATGACATCAGCGCTACTCTCTGCAGCAGTACACTGTCAATTATGATTGGCGTGGTATGGTACGGACTATGGTATCTTACATTCACAGTATGGTCCTCGGCTTTTGGGCTTTAACCTGAAGGACTGAGGTCATCTTGTGTCAGCAAAAGGTCTGCGGAGGACAGCTCTGGATTGATCCCTGGGCTCTAATAAGAAAGAGCTTTGTGTTGGTGTGTGGAATGGAACCATTCATCTTTGTAGGTGAATGATGGCAGCATGCACTAGTACATACAACACCATGACTTTGAAATAGTGTGAGGACTGGTTTGGGCATGGGACACTTCAGTAACCCAGTCAGTCTAATCTAGAAAGAACATTTTAGTAGCCACAAAACATGTTTCCACTACAGAAATCCTATATATATACCAAAGCCATTCTTAGTTTTGTTTATTTTTTTACACACACACACCTTGCTGTAATAGCAGCCTCTTTAGTGCAGTGATTAGAAGATGTTTAAACAAAGTCACTATTTACATACATACATACATACATACATGGTGTGTAGGCGGTAGGACTTCCTATCAGATGTTTTAGGCATGCAAGGTAAGCATGTGCTGTAGAGTTGCACTCAGCCACTTGTGGGCGTGGACATGTGGCGCTGTGGGTGTGACTACGGAAGAGGTTTGTGTCTGGATTAGAGACAGATGACGCTAGGCTGTCACGCCTCCATTAGGCTGACTACGTGCGCGCACCCTAATGTTGTATTGAAGTTGCTCGTCGTGTGCCTCGGGGTCGCGCCCGGGATCTTAAAGCGACAGGCTAGAAGACGGGAGCGCGCTGCTCGTCCTGGAGGAGAGAATCTGCTTCCCCTCGCCGCTAGGGATTTTGCGGTGAGCGAGGAGCCGCCTGTGACCTCCTGTGATCCTAACCTCCGGAGACGGAGGAGCCCAAGGCCCGAAGCCAGGCAGGCGACACGGAGGCACAAGGTATGACGCCCACTGACAGTGCAGGTAGCATGTTGTGATGTGCAGCTCCTCCCCTCTGCCGTGTAAACAGCGGTCACCTGGGTAACATGTGCGGTATGGTAGGGGACACGGTCCGGTGGAGTGCATTGCCAGTTCCATGGTGCTGATCCCCGGTGTGGCCGCGCCGCGGTCCGGTTGCTCTCCACACGTGCAGACCAATGTGCAGCTTGTGTTATTGTTGTTCCGTTGTCTGCGGCCCGCTTCCTCCCTCAGCACGTCCCTCCGCCCCTTTTCTTCTGCTCTCCCTCCTTTTGTGTCTCGGTGGGCTCCGTGCATGTCCTGGGCCCGGCGGGTGAGTGTGTAGCCGCCATGGCGCTCCGGGCTGCCTTCTCTTTGTTGTGGCTTTTGTGTTTTCCTGCTGAGCACATGGTCTGAGACGAGAGTCTCTTCTTAAAGACACAGCCGCTCCCGGAGCGGGCTTCTCTTGTGTGATCAGCCCACCATCATGGCATGAGGGCACGATGGGAGAATTGTGGGGGTACCCAGTACAGATCATCGGACTTACTATCAGGAGCATGCCTTCGGTTCCACTGACTGATAGCACAGGACACAGATAATCAATACAGTCTGCAGACAAAACACCAGGCTGCCTTTTTATGTGGCACAGACACGGGTGCAGGGGGAGCAGGTGATCGCACCATCTGAACCCCAGTACTACAGAGCAACATGTATGTGCTGAGCTCTTCAGCTTAGTACACCCTACTGGTTGGGGGTCACTTTAAAGGTTGTGCTGATTTCTGCTTTTGGTGGCCTTTTGTCACCCAGGGCAGTTGAGGAGCTCTTATCTGAGGGCACCTAAAAGATCCAGAGGAGCAGTATTATCATTTGGACAGGTTAGAAAGCCCATCCAGTTAAACGGTTAGAGGAGCTGTAGCATGTACCTCCCTGCTCCATAGTATATCCAAAAACACTCAGGTGAGCGGAGCACTTATCCGAAGCAGGATCTAATGATAGCCAGCTTATGTAGAGATGTCTTGGATGGTTCTTTTGGTATGTGTTTTGCTCCTTTCATGTACTTGATATAGTTTTATATTGTCTGTGTGACATAATGACATAGAAAGGATCATCATTTACAAACTGGACCCTTCTGAGACACCAAAGGCTCACCTATACAGACCTCTAAGGCTGTGGACATTCTAACACAAGGAAGCACACTCACCTTTTACTTAGGGGCCGCACTTCCTGCATCTTTATCACAGTTTGTGTTGGGTCCATACATCATCAATGTTTACCCTTAGCTGATGGTACAACGATGGTTTTTGTTGCATCCTAATGCTGCATGGCCTAAACATTCACATGCAACACAGACAACCTATTCTTATCTGGACTATACGTTAAAGTGTGTGTAAGCCAGAACAATGTAAATCTCTTTATTTGCTTCCTTTTGATCACACCAATGGAAGCATTTTTTATATGTGATGAAGGCAAAAAATACTGTTGATCCTGTCAGATTTTTCGGAATTGTCGTGTCTTCTCCAAATGTCTGTTTTCTCTAAGAACCATTCTAATCCTTTTTCTTGGATTACAAATTTAGTCTTTGTTTTGGAGAACTGAGTAGAAGTGGTTGAGTAACTTAGCAAGACACTGGGTTACATAAGTGACTATACACTATACCAAAAGCTTTGAAATAAATGTTATGAAAGCTCCAAGGGTACCCCTGTACCCCTAGCTTGGCTCTCTGTGCCTCTATATCTTTAAATGAACTTCTGTGTACCTGTGCTTTTCTGCATCTCCAAGCATACCCCCTGTGCTCCTCCGTATCTCCAAGCATACACCCTGTGCTCCTCCGTATCTCCAAGCGTACTCCATGTGCGTCCAGCATATCTCTGTGCCTGTGAATACCTGTGCCACCAGCGCATCTCCAAGTGTGCCTCTGTAGGTGTCTCCCTTTTTGATTACACAGAACCGCTTTCCGAGCTGCGATTTCCCCACCTGTGGCCTGACCCAGCCATGAGAGACTCTGCACAGTACTGTACTGTTAGTATTCTAGCCACTTGCAGTTGTATAGAGTTCCCCTGTGTATCCTTCCATAACTGAGATCTGCAGAGGAAGAATACACTAGGTCAGGAGTCAGCAACCTTAAACACTCAAAGTGCCATTTGGACTTGTTTCCCACAGAAAAGAAAACACCGGGAGCCACAAAACCCTTTTGACATCTAAAATGAAGATAACCCTGCATATATCGTTTTTTACCTTTTATGCTATGTATAGCATGTATTTAGGTATGTGTGGGCTTAGTAACGCTCTGGGCTCGGTAACGCACTGGACTCTGGACTTACCTGAGACCCCGCAGAGCCCACGAGAGTGACACTCCAGAGCACAACATAGATCCTGCACAGCCCATCTGACACTCTGGTGGGCTCTGCAGGGCCTCAGGTAGGCTGGTCACCAGGGTCATTTTCCCTGTACCTCCTCCCAACACCTCTTGCCTGCTGGGGCCCGGCCTCCTCCACCCCCTCCCCTGTCACCTCTGCTATGCCGCCCCTGGTACAGCTGATACTCATTCCACCAGGGGGGTGCGGACCTCACTGGGCCCCCCCACAGCCTGAGGCCCCGGTGGTAGTTCCGCCCTTGGACAAGGAGCCGCAGCAGAGGGTTCAAAGAGCCACATGTGGCTCCGTAGCCGCAGGTTGCTGACCCCTGCCCTAGGTGGAGCTGTTGTTTAAATGGTGGTTGCGTGACCGCCAAAAAAGGGCGCTATTTAGAACCAGCGCAAACTAAGGGCTACCTTGTATTTGCAGGGTCCTTAGAGGGATAACACATGAAAAATGTGCGTGTATTGTAGATATGTACTGCCTATTATTTTATGGATTTTGGCTTGACATACACTTTTTAAAGGCGAACTGTACTATTTCTAGCATTGGGAGAATTAGTAAATCCGTTCATTCTGAGCAATCCTGAGTATGTGTTTAATGTATTCATAATTTAACCTGGTCAGAAACTGAAGTACTTGAAACTGAGCTTACAGCAAAAAAAATGTTATACAGAGTGTGTTTTCATTAAAAAAAACACATGCACCAAAATGTTGTTAAATTCAAATATATAGAAGCCAAGTTTCTATGAAAATCTTGACAGTACAATAAGACGAGCTTGATCCTGCTCCTTCCATCTGCTCAACTTCACTTTTGGAAAGCAAGTCTGCCTATCGCATTGAAGGACCAGTAGGGTAGGACCTTAAAGCAAAAATGAACGCTAACAGTTATATCCACAGCGGAAACATGTTGGCGTGAAGAGTCTTGCTGGCTGAAAATGTATACATTTGTTCAGATAACCCAGACATCCCCTGTCCAACAGCACTGCCTGGATCTGAGCCCACCTTTTTCTACTGTGGTTAAATTTATTACAGCTTGGGCAAGGCTTCTGATTGAAAAGGGACGGAGCAGTAGCACACTGATTAGGTCAACTCTGTGCTCACCACTCCCACCACCCATCTTCCTTTTTTACTGTGAAGTGTAATAAAGCCTTCTTGGCTTCCATTGCTTTCCCTTCCTGTTCCATTCTGAATCCTTCTATGCTGGAAACAACAAGAGGCGCTATTATAAAGATTGACAGAGGTGCGATTTCAAAATAGAAGTATATTTTTATTGAACACATAGATTTGTTAAATGGGGCATTTATATCTGCTTTTACTTTTGATTTAAAGTAACCATTGGGTTACCACTTGCATATATGACAAAACTGCTTGCACTGGCATCACATTGTCTAGGGGATAGCTTGCAAGATGTTGACGGGTTGCCTTCTGTTTCCATGGTTATTGCCGTAATGTCTTTACTCAACAACCCCC